ATAATACAGATTTACTATCTCACACTATCTATGGGTTAGGGCACTAAGCATAGCTTAGCTATGATCTCTATTCAACGTAAAAAGAAAATTCAGCTAAGGCATTAATCTCATCTGGGAATAAGTTCTTTCCTAGCTTACTAGTTGCTAGCTAAGTTCAGTTCTTGTGGTAAAGCCTTCAGCTCCTAGAAACTATCCATCTACCTGTAACATAACTGTCTTCACATAGAAGTTTTCTTTTTCAAGATCAACAGTACAGCTTTGCTATTTCTTACCCTTGGACACTTTTTTGAAGTCTATCTGATTAGTAAGAAACATGTGATTAAAGCCAAACAAACAAAAAAAAAATCTGAAACGCTCCGGTGTTCAAAACTTTTTGCATCACATCAATACTCAGAAGTTCCAGATTTTGGAGCATTTTATATTTCAGATTTTCAGATTCAAGATCCTCAATCACTGAAGTCTATGAAATATTACAGAAGTTGAAAAACTCCATGATCAGAAGTCTGATTCCAAGTACTTCACATAAGGAATAATCAATCTGTAATATAATAGCTACCAGGTATGGATCACTTAGCTAGATCAAAGCACTAATATTTTCTATGCAATGTCTCATTTCATCTTTACAATTACCCTATGAGCTAGGCACTATTATTCCTATTCACTACAGATTCAGAATGTTCTTCAAATCCATACTTTTATATATTTTACCTGTGAAAGTCATTGGGGTATTAATCAGGCATTTTTTGCAGTTAGTAAGATGTATAATTTTTAAAATCATCTTTTATAAAACTCCACTGAAATAGTTCTCGTGGAAACTGTTGAATTTACTGGTTCTCTTAACTTATAATTTGTACAAATTACAAACATCCATTAAAGAAAATAGCTAAGTTGCGTTATGTGTGTGTGTGTTTATATATAGCTTATTTTTTGTCAGATAAATATCACAACAAAACCACGTTTGTGAAATATAGAAACTTTTCTAGATAAACTGTATTTTTCAGCACCATTTGGCAGGTTAAACACCCAAAGAACAATACAAGAACTAACTATAGGAAGACTATAGGAAAGATAATATTTCTCTTCAATATGAGAGGATAAAAACATTTAACATATACTTACCTATAAATGGAAATGTATTACTTTTAAAAAGTTAACTAGGTAGCTAGGATATACCTATAATCCCAGATACCTAAGAGGCTGAGGCAGGAGGAAATCTAGCTCAAAATCATCCTGGCCAGAATGGGAGCCCCCACCTCAAAGCAAACAAAAGTTCACTAGGGTTCTCTAGCACTGAAAGCACTGAAGCAGAAAATGAAAAGTTCTACATCAAAAATGTTCTACAAAGGAATTCTACTTTGGACAGTATGTTACTTTTCTAGGGCTGCCTTGAAAGAAATACTAAAACCTGGGTGGCTGAAAACAATAGAGAATTCATTGTCTCAGAGTTTTGGAGGTTTGAAGTCTCAAAGCAAAGTATCAACCAGGGTAAGCTCCCAGTGAAATTTATAGAGACCTTCCCTTACTTTCCTGGGTTCTGTTGGTGTGCCAGTATACAGCTGCCTCCATCATCACACAGCACTCTCTAGTACCCATATGTCCTCTGTGCATCTCTTCTTATAAAAATATCAGTCATATTGGGCTAACGCTCACCATATTCCAATATGACCTCATTGACAATTACATCTGCAATTACCTTATTTTCAAATAACATCATATACTGATGGGTTAAGACTTCAATATATCTTTTGAATGATAACTGGAGTCTTAACTGAACCTATAAGATATATGAAAACTAGATAACAACTTTAAAGATATTAATATCTAGGCATTTATGAGAAAGAATTCTAGCATTATATATGAACAGAACCAAAAACTTGATTTATTATTCTACTCATTCATGGCATTCATTCAACAAATATTTGCTAGGCATTATCCTAAGCACTAGAGACACACTGAATAGTTCCTGCCATCAGGAGGCCTACATTCAAACAAGAACATGTCATCACTTCTGACTATCTGCTATGTGCCAGGTACTTAGCAGAAATATATAGACTATCTTATTAATTCTTACAACAAACAACCTATTAGGTAGAAATTTTTATCACCTTTACCACATGAGAAAGCTAAGGCACACTGAGAGTTACTTCTTGAAGGTCATCAGATTCTTGATGAATTGACCATTTTTCACTGTATAACCTTTTTTTCAAAGTTAGTGATAAACTCTTTGTCTTGAAATCTATTTCATTTGATGCTAATACAGTCACTTCAGTCTTAAGCTTATTCCTGTATATGCTTAGAATAAACATATTTAGATTCCTTTCAAGGAAGAGATTAAATGGGCAATGTCTAAAGAATATCAAATGCCTCAAGTTCAGCACTGCTTCCATTCCATTCCATTCCATTCCATTCCATTCCATTCCATTCCATTCCATTCATATAGGCCTCTCAATTTTTGTAAAACAAATTATAATTCACCAGTTCTATAGGCTTAAAATTACATCTCCCTTTTAAAGTCATGCTTCTAAAGTTCATACTTGCTTATATAAAGATCCCGAATACCTAGAAATGAAACACTATAGTGAAGGTTTCAGTCTAGGCACAGTGTTCTCAACAATGGAAGAAACTATAAGAAGATACTGAGTGACAAACTTCTAAGGCTGTTGTTCAAAGAAAAGCTTTAAGTTAGGTAACAGGCCAATCTTGATAATCTGAAAAATGACTTCTTACTCTGTGAACTTAATGACTTCAATATTAATATCTTACTTGAAACAAGCACATTTTAGGCAACTGGTGCTATTCAGAACATAATGAACATAGGAAAATATTACTCATTAACATAAAGTAATTTGAAGTTTGGATGGTGTGGTGGTTTGAATGAACATGTCCCCCATAGGCTCCAAGTATTTGGACATTTTGTCCCCAGATGATGGCACTGTTTTGGGAGGTTTTAGAAGGTGTGGCTATCCTGGAGGAAGCACGTCACTGGGGATGGGCTTACAGAGTTCTTAAGCCTTGCCAGATCTCCAGTTGCCCTCTTGCTTCCTGTGCCTGCGTGATGATGTGAGAGCTTAGCTTTTGCTGTTCCTGCTCCAGCCACCTCCAGCCACCATGCCTCCCTGCCAAGATGGACTGTAATTCCCCTGGAATGGTAAGCTCAAATAAACTCTTCCTTCTATAAGTTGCTCGGGTCAGTGTTTCTATCACAGCCACAGTAAAATGACTAATACAGATGGAATTTAGCCTGTTTTTTGCTCTCCTAGGAAAATGAAAAATGAATATTGAAAAATAGTTAAAAGAAATAGCAGTTCAGTGCTCTCATATCAACTATCTTTTGCTCTAGAAATCCATTTACCTTACAATGTACATATAAACTATGTGTACATTGTTTTCACAACCTTTTACAATGCTCCTTAAAAATAACTATTAATCTTTTAGACTCAGTAATTGGTATACCTTTTTTAAAAAATTCTTTAATTCTGAATTTACTTGATTCAGACTGAGTTTTCCTCTAACTGTATTGAATGGTGAAGCATTTATGAATAGATACATAACACTAACTTACATAAAAATAACAGTTTCATGGCTATCTTACATGACAGCTAACATTCAACAACAGGGCTTCTTAAACTTTTGCCACTCATAAACTCTTTTTGTCCAGGAATTTTTACATAACCCTGGATACACAAATATATAGAATAGGTATATAAACAAATATCTACAGACAATAAATCAGAAAGAACAGTATTTTAGGTCAATTCTATGATATGCATACAATTTTACCATTTATTAAACATTAAAGTGAATCTGCATCTAATAAATAACATGGTTGTACTTATTTTTACAGAAGAAATCTTGGTTGAATATTTGACACTGCAGGACATACAAATTCTTTAAAATTTTTCACAGTTGATCAATATTTTGATTTTAATAGTCATCAATGCTTAGAACGTTAAATCATATAAATACATAGCACAAAAATGGCAGAAGTATATTTACAGCTATTTTACAAATTGAAAATTTTGACCTAATCTCAAGCCAAAATTCATTTAATGATTTTTTTTAAAAGGAAATTCAAGTCAGCAACTCACACAGTAGTTTGTTTGTTTTTAACCCTTACTCATAAGAGTACCGGTTTCCTCAAGACCACCTCAAACAGCAATTTTTAAAGGCACACATTCTAATACAACATAATCCAAAGATGTACTAATTTCATACTTACCATGCTAGGAACTAGGGTAAGAAAATGTAATGTCTTTGTTTGCCACAATTAAACCATTATGTTTCTAAGAGAACAGAAAACTTTGTATATAGTAAAAACTGCTAGCTGTTACATACAACAGTCTCAAATCTGAGTTGAAGTATTTTAGGCAGTGATCATTGGTGTTGTATGGTTTGATGGCATGCCGAGTGCAAAGCACTCAATGCTGTATGTTCAAAACCAAGGCAGAGGTTGGAGAGATGGCTCAGTGGTTAAGAGCACTGGTTGCTCTTACAGAGGACCTGGGTTCAGTTTCCAGCACCCAAATGGTGGCTAACAACAATTTTAAACTCCAGTTTCAGGAGATCTGACACCCTGTTCTGACCTCCTTAGGCACTACATGACAGGGGAGCACTTATGTACAAAACACTCATACACATAAAATAAAAATAAATAAATAAAAGGCTACAGTGAAGTCATACAATGTAACACAAGTGAGCACTGCAAGAAACACCTCAGATTCATTGATGCTGGACTTTCCATTAGTTTTTAGTTGTTGCACATTTAGAAACCTTCTACTGTTGCCAATTTTTCCATGACCTTCACATTTAGTTATGCAATCCCACATGAGGCTGCAGCCCACAGTTTAAGCTGTATAGATTATATGAAAGATTAGATTATACCAACTGCAAATGTAGCAAAATAGCTATTAGCAATACAGAAAAAAATTTAAGATATTTACCAAAACTATTTCCACTAACCAGATGACTAAGTTTATATAAAATCAAATACATTTTCCCACCTGCAGTTTCATTTTTTCCAAGTCTTTAATTTTCTCTATTAAATCCCCTCTCAGCTCTTCAAGGAGCAGTTGGAATTTTTCCTGGTTAGTTTGCTTTTCATGTAATAGGCGCTTAAGTTCATTTTGTGATTTTATGTATTCTTCTTGCAACCTGATGTTAAAAAAAAATTGTAATTTAAGTGTATACTTTGCTTTTTAGTTCACTGTTTTATATAAAGTCAACCAGTACTACAGAAAAACAAGGCTGATGAGTCACTGCACTAAACTTGCAACTATCTTTTGTTTTCAGACTTCCATTTAATTATTAACACTGTAATTTCTGAAAGCAACTTTACTTTTTAGGAAAAAAAATAGAACACATTTAGCCCTGTGTATATATTTAATGTTATATATCTTGTTACTTTCAAAGACTTTACATTCACAACCCACTTAATATTACAAATTTAAAGTAATTTAAAATAAAAATTTTTACTATATTGAAAGTGTTAAATGAATATCCTACAAAATAACAAAAATATACTGTATGTTCAAGAGCAAGCACACAGACAATATAATTCCAATACTAATTTTTAAGCAGCCCCTTCCCCATAAACTTTTTCTCTAAATTTAAGTAATTTACCTTGTGTGTTCAACTTTCAGAGCCTGATAATTATGCTTATGATGTTCACATCGTACTCTCTCATCAATTAACATATTTTGGAACTCAGGTTCAGGATTTAGTTTACTATCTCCACCAGGTGGAAATATATTAGGAAAACTGTCCATATTTGCAAGGGAGCTGAGAACCATGAATAAGTTGTGGCTTTCTTATAGTTTTAGTTTTCTTGTGGGAGTATTTCCAACTTCTTTCTTGCTAAGGCAGAATCCCAGGAGATCAAATTATGCCTGCACAGAGAAATGCACATAATTAATAATCAGTAACTTAGACTTCCCTTGGCTTTATACAGCTTTTAGCATTATTTTCCTATCATTTTTATCTAAAAAATTTGTTTTCTGATTTCCAACCATTCATAAAACAAAATGCAGGAATGAAGTTGAATCACAGGTTCCTATTTTTTTCTTTATATCCATGCAAAGACTCTGTAACCATCAAGGTCATATCTTCAAGGATTAGCCTTATTAAATTAGAAGAATGAACTTTTCAGTTTAAGTATTCTTAGATTCACAAGCTACAGTTATGTTTCTGAGGGAAACTTTAGGGGTAGACCCCAGTGTAAAATACATACTCCAAAATCAGGGGAAAAGTTGTGTGGAGCTTGGTAAGTACTGGGGAAAATTGACAGTCTTCAGAAAGATGACCTCCAGCAAGTAATTATATCCGTGATGAATGCTTCAAAAAGTCATTCCTACAATTTGATACATGGCAAACTGAATCAGCACACAAATATTGATCACCTCCTATGCATTATACATTGTGCTAAGAACAGAAAAGTAGATTACTTTACCTATCCCCCAAAACACTGGCCCAGTATAATAATAGTAACTAAATATTTATTTCATGTACAAGTTAAAATTTATGGGAGAGTGCTTTATTATAAATAAGAAAAAAATTAAAATACTTCTATCCCTTTAACATCATTAATCTTTCTCTAAACCATTATACAAACATATATTTTCCCTCCCTTACTCATGGGTTATCATGAACTACTTTCTATTACAACAAAGGATCTTTGGCTTATGCAAACCATTCATTAAATTACCCCATCTTGTTTAAAATCTTTCATCTCTGATAAATTAGGGTCATGCTACAAATGTGTGTGTGTGTGTGTATAAATATTTAAACTGAAATTGGAACTACTTTAGCATCCTGTTAAATTGTACTTTAATGGAAGGGGTGAAGTCCTTTAAGAACACTTAATTCCTCACTCAACTGAAAAGTTCAACTGACCACATCAACCTGTTTAGTAATTTTCAACTAAACAGAATTCCTAAAGAAGATTGCCAGAGTGATAAGAAGCTCCTTCTGGTTCACATCTTATACAGCAACTCTAGTCTAGACCTCTAGACTTCACCAGGTTCTCAAAATGAATACTGGAAAAAAGAAATATCATGTCAAAGAGAGAGAAAAAAGAACTTTTGAACAATTTTGAAATATGAGAGCATTCTGGCTTTCTTAACAAAGGAAGAGCCTGATCTGCTGAGACTTTAACAGAGCCTACATGACCTGGTCAAAGAAATTCTAAAGTCTAGCATTCTCCAGCCATCCTCTCCCACTAAAAGAGAAGTAGAGGGAGACTGAATGTCATTGGCAAAGTTTGTAACTCAGGCGCACAGCCACCAAAAACTGAGATCAATCATACAACTTACAGAAATGCTTCCCCTTCCCTCCACCCCTATAAAAGGATATAAATTAAATAGCTTATAATAATGAAGTAATCCTGGTTATCGTTATTACATTCATTTTACTCACATGTAAGTATGTGTTTGTGTACACATTTATGGAGTACACTGTATGTGTATGTATATGTATACATACATTACACACAAACACAAACACACACACACACACACACACACAAGGAGTATGTTCTAGTTTCCTTTCTGTTGCTGGGCAAACACCAAGAGCAAAACAACTTAGGGGAGGAAAGGATTTATTCCGCTTACACTTTCGGGTTCATCACAGAGGGAAGTCAAGGCAGGAAAGAATTCAAGGCAAGCCTACTTGCTATTCTGAACAGCAATACCTCCAATCAAGAACTCATAGTAAAAGTGTAATAGGAACTATAACATATATATAAAAGTATAACAGGATGCTGTCTGCTAGCTGGATGGCAAGTTCATGCTTGGCTTTTTTTTTTTTTAACAACTCAAGGCCAACTGCTGAGGGAACTGCTGTCTACAGTGGGCTAAGACTTCCTGCATCAATTAAGAGAACATCCCCCACAGACAAGCTCATAGGCCAATCTAATCTAGATAATCCTTAATTCAGACCTCTTTCTCAAAAAACTCTAGGCTGTGTCAAATTGACAATTAAGGCTAACCAGGACAAAGTGGAAGAAAAAAATAGCAATAAAGAACAAGAGAAACAGGAAACAGTAGCGAATATGGCAACATTAATTAATCAATAGTCACTATAAATGTTAATATTTATACATCAATTTAAAGTCAGATTGTCAAAGTGGATCAAAAATTATATGCATACTGGAGAGATGGTTCAGTGGTTAAGAACACTGGCTGCTCTTATAGAGGACCCAGGTTTTTTTTCCCAGTACCCATGTGTCCGTTAACAACCATCAACTCCAATTTCAATAGATCCGACACCCACTTCCGATCTCCACAAGCACTTCACACACACAGTGCACTTACATACATGCTGGAAAAACAGTTGTATACATAAAAATAAATAAATGATATCCAACTATATGTTGCCTACAAGAAATCCACTTTAAATATAAAAACACATATAGATTAAAATCAAATGGATAAAGAAACATTTGTTCAGGGCTAGAGAGATGGCTCAATGGTTAAGAGGGCTTTGCTCTATTAGAGGACTAAGTCCACATCTAGAGACTCACAAACACCTGTAATTCCAAGGGATCTAACACTTCTGACCTCCATGAGCACATGCACACACACACACACACACACACACACACACACACACACACACAAACACATAAAATGAAGCAAAAATCTTTTTAAAAAAAAGAAATATAGAGGGGCTGGAGAGATGGCTTAGTGGTTAAGAGCACTGGCTGCTCTTACAGAGAACCTGGGTTCAATTCCCAGCACCCACATGGAGGCTAACAATCGTCCTTAACTCCAGTTCCAGGGGAATCCAACGCCCTCTTCTGACCTCCACAGGCACTGCATGACACAGGTGTACCTACCCATATGCAGGCAATACACTCGTACATATACATAAAAATAATAAATAAAATGTTTTTAAAAAGAAAGAAAAAAACCCAAAATATATATTGGGGGCTGAAGAGATGGCTCAGTGGGCTTGGGTTCAATTCCCAGCACCCACATGGAAGCCAACAACCATCTGTAACTCCAGTCCCAGGGGAACCTAACACCATCTTCTGACCTCCACAGGCACTGCACAATATGGATGCACTTAGATGCATGCAGACAATATACTCATACAAACACACCCCCCAAAAAATCATAAAATATTTTTTAAAAAGAAATATATATTATGGTAGCACTAATCAAGACAGCAGCAGCTATATTAATTTCTCCCATGGACTGGTCACCTGTGCTTTCTAAAAACTTATATGCAAAAGCCTAACACCAAAGTGACAGTAAAATGGGGTCTTTAAGAACTGAGGGCAGTGCCCACCTGTAGTTAAGGGAGACAACTCACTATTCTAAATGATAGCTAAATTTGTTTTCTCACCTATCTAGAAGCCTTTGCGAGGGAATTGACACTGATTCTAGCCACTCCAACAGCTATCAAAGTGCCTGGAAACAAATCCTGAGTCCATCACTCTAGAGTCCAGCCTTGGCAGGCAAAAGAAAAATGAGGAGGAACCCAATAGAAGGATGTTTTTGGAAGCTCTCGTCAAGAAATACCAATGGACTCTGATATGAACATTTGAAATCTGCCTTGTTCTAGCTTTTTTCTGGTTCCCTGTCTAGAACTTGTAATGCTAACTACTCTTGCCTTTACTTCTTCACATCTCCTATTCATGATTCAAGGACTTTCTTTAACCCTTAGAGATAAGAGTTATGCATTTGGGGGAGTCTTTTAGATAGACCCACTGAAGGGGTACCCCAATTGCCTCACCCTGTGTCCCTGTTCAGCATGGAAGAAGCCAGAGTGGTCTGTGTCCTGATTCCCTATCGGCAATCTGGTTAACCTCTTTAGGGGATGGTGTGATAAGAATAGGAGGTAGGAATTGGCTAGGCAGTTAGGGTAAAAAGACCCCAAAGAAAAGTAGCCAGTTTCTTGGCTAAAAGTCAAAATGTCCTTGGGCCTCTTAGCAACATACTGTTCCAAAGGCCAAAAATGTCAAAAGTATTTGAGAGCTCTTATCTAATTCCTAAAAGATTTTCCCAGAAGGCGGAATGTTATTGTTCAGGAAAAAGTGATGGGGAGATATGGGAGGAGTTGGAGGGGAGGGAGTCAGCATGGATTTGATCAAAAGACCTTATATGCATGTATGAAATTCTCAATAATTTTTTTTATAAAAGTCAAAGAAAAAACAAAAAGACGTGAGGGCAGAGCCCAGAAACTGGGATTACTGCCTTTATAAACGCAGCCCAAGAACTCCTCTAACCCTTCTGCTATATGAAGAAATAATTAAAAGATCACTGTCTAGAAACCAGGAGGAGGCCCTCACCAAACACTGAATCTAGTAGTACTTTGGTTTTGGACTTCCCAACCTAGAAATTATTTTTGTGTTGCTTATAACCCACCTGGCTTATATTTTTGTTATAGCAGCCCAAGCAGATTAAGATAATTTTTAAGAGAGCATACTTCAAAGCAAGAAAAGTCTCAGGAATAAAAAGGACATTACACATTGATAAAGAGGTCAATTCTTCAGGAACATATAATAATCACTAATATGCATATGCCTGCAACAGGGCATCAGGAAGCAGAAAGTGATGAAACTATAAAGAGGAACGAATCCATTATTATTGGAGATTTCAACAGACCTTTATTAGAAATGGACAGAGTCACCAAGCAGAAAATCTGCAGCTACACAGTTGCACTGAATGACACCATCAATCAACTGGATATAATGAGTATTTATGCCACTGCATTCAACAGAATACATATTCCTCTCAAGTTTACATGGAACATTAAGACAACCACATTCCAGCCCAAAATGGCAACAAACTTAAAAGAATACAAATAATATAGTATTGGTTCTTAAACTGCAAAGGAATTATACTGATATTCAACAAGAGAAAGATGGCTGGAAAATCTGAAAATG